CATATTGCGATGAGTGAGGGCCTAATTTGAATTGTTGCGGCGGGCAAGGGGCATTGTTGAGCCAGACCACTCCCGCTCCAGCTTTCAAGTTGCCCTGTTGATTGTAGGAGCAGCCATCGACATATTCTGTGGGCATCCCTTCACACACATTGTCCCCGAAGTACCTGTGGTTTGTCAGTTGCAGCTTTGAAGGTTCTTTGGGTTCTGCTGCTGTGTGTAGTGTGTCCGTTGAACAGTTCTGGCAGGCTGCTAGCGTTGGTTACCACGCCATCCCTGATTCGTTGGCTGTTGAGGAAGGCTCATATGACGCTATTGGAATCTTGTACTGGCAATGATTTCATGTGGTCTTGTGAATGTTACGGTGTCATCAAGTCATGGAACGTCTGGTTGATGAGCCATCCCAGGTGACTGACTTTGGGAATGTTGATGTCTTTGGCAGTACAGTTGTTGAACAACACATACACTGCACGAGATGACACTTCAATGAGAGGTGTGGCTTCCAAGGTCAGTCCTAGTCTCAGGCAGGTCCTGGACTGACACTCTCGCTGTAGGCAGGTATTGTAGCTTCTTGCTCATTGATGATGGCGCATGCGTCTGGCATTGTTTGACCAGATCGAAGGTTCTTGAGGTTGACTGCAGTGGTCAGTTGGTGCGACAGGGGAGCCCATATGACGTCGTTCACGATGTCCACACAGGCATTGAGCCGGACCATGATGTCTGCTCCAATGTAGATGTCATGAGGTAGGTTGGGGACAACGAGGAAGTAGTGACTCAGGTGTCTGTTGTTCCATCTTATGTCCACAGCGCAGATGATCTTGGAGGTAGCCATGGCTGTTGACCAGGGACTGAGAGGGAAGCGGCTGTGTCTTGAGACATGTGGGGGGCTCTGCTGTCTTTGTTTCAATGCTCTGAACAGCTTCAGGCTGATAGCTGAGTTCTCTGCCCACAGGGCTAATGCTGCGTCAGACACTGATGTGTCGTGGACACTTATGGCAGTCATGATTCGAAGGGGGCCTGAGTCTGAGTCAGGCGCCTGCAATGAGCAGAGGAAAGGGTCCAGGTTCTTGCTGCTTGGAGTTGAGCTTGGCCCTGTACCTGGTTTTCACATTGCATCATCAGTCCGTGAATTGACGGCGGTGTCTGTGGCTTGAGAACTGCGACTCGTTGGAGTCTACTGACTGGAAGGGCAGAGGCTCTCGGACTTGCGTCTATATCTTTAGGTGCTTGAAGTCTATTAAGGGTTCAAAGCGATTAAGCAGGTATTTTCCAATGAGGAGTGGATAAGCGTTGAGTGGTGAGAAGTATACTGGGTGAATGAGGTCCATCGGTCCCACAGTTAGGTGAATTGGGGCCATGTGTTTTAGTTGTAGGCCCGTGTGGGAATACGCTTGAAGGTTCAGCTCGCACCTTTGAAGTTTGAGGGTGCTATTAGACCTCTTTGTTCTTTCTTGGACTTCAAGGAGTTCAGTTGACATTAGAGTGATGTCGGCTCCTGTGTCAAGAAGAGCTTCGACTTTGATGTGGCGTTCGATGATGATGGAGAGGTAAAACTTTCTTGCTATACCTTTCTCAATGAGGTCGCCCAGAAGTTGAGGGACCGGAGTTTGGGATGAGACAGGTAGGATGTCACGACTGATCTGGTGTTCGTCGGAGGAGTGGCAGATGACCAAGACAGCACTTTCAGGAACTTGAGTGGTTTCGTCAGCAGGTGTTTGTTGGACGCTGCTGTGATCTGACGCATCAGGTGTTGGGTCAGTTTCTGACTGTTTTGCGGGTTGTTCAGGTAGGATTTCTTGTCCGTCTGAAGTTATGGAGGTTACGGTTCTCTGAGAGTGAGGTGAAGGAGTGCTGTTCTCTGTGGCTGGTTGGGTCAGCTGGTCGCTGCCTTCTCTTCCGGCTGCTAGTCAGGCTGAATCTGGTTTCTCTTTCTTTTCCCACTTCCGATCCTCCTCCTTTCGGTGGAAGAACTCTTTCATCATCATTTTCATCAGCTCTGGTTTGTCTTAAGTGCTGTTCTTCCGATCCTCCTCCTTGCGTTGGAAGAATTCTTTCATCATCATCTTCATCAGTTCTTGTGAGTCGAAACACGGTGATGTCTTTTGTTCTTGTGTGGGTTCAGTTTGAGTTCAGTCAGCTTGGTATCTTTGTGAGTTTTTCCGTCGATTCCTTGGGCTGGTTGCTCCATGGTGTTTTTGTCGTTTTCCCTTGGAGGTTCCGTTGGATTCCCATGAGTTTTTCCCTCTTGAGTTTCCAAATGAGCTTGGTTGATTCCATGATCTCTCCCATTGATTCTCATGAGGTCTGGATTGGTCCCAAGATTTTTCCCAGTGACGTCCAGGTGAGTGTTGTCGTCCACGCGGTCCATCCCAGCGGTTGTTCCTCTGTTTAGGTCGGGTACCAGCATGGGAGTCTCGTTCTCTGTTGGACGAGGGTGTGTTCCACTCTTTGTGTGGCGGCTTGGCATGGTCTTGATGTTGGGCGCCCTCTAGAGCCAGACCTTGACTTTGAGTGTTGAAGTCAAGAACTGTTGGGGTTTTGGCGCCCTTTTCTGAGGCCATCTTCTGTTTGCCGTAGGCTTTATGCGCCAAGTCTCGCAACTGTTGAGCACTCATTGTTCATGGCAACGTACCCTGCAATAACTAGCATGTGCTACGCCCAGTCTATGATTATACACAGTTTAAAGTACATCACAGGAGATAAAAACACTATTGAGGTTCTTATCTGAACAATCTCAACTCATTAGAGTGAGGTAAATTAATCTACAGATTTTCTGCAATTAATACAATAACGTTATTGAGATCTCGGCGGATCTCAGCACTTTGTGTTAGTCTAATTTTACTTGATCAAGATTCACAATTCTCCCATAAAACGCGTTCGGACACTCTCTGAGGGTTCGATCTAGACGTGCTCCTTGTCTGACGGCATGCACCTCTTCTACACCTGCAATGGCTTTGCTGTTCTGTCACGATAGTTACGCTGCTCTGCATATACGTACACACATCTGTAGTGTTAAATCTTTCTCACAAAGCAGTCTTTCTCTCAGTCCTTCATTGTTAATTCCGCATACTATTCTGCCACGTATGAGTGAATCTTTGATGTATCCAAAGTTGCATGTTTTAGCGAGCGTTTGTAACTCTGTGACGTAATTATCGATTATTCAGCTTCCTGGCTTTTTGAGAAGAATCGATAGTGTTCTACTGTCTCGTTTATACTAGGTTTACAGTGTTCATCAAACTTTGCAATAATGTTCATTACCGTTCGTGCATCCGTGGCTACATCACTCATTAGAGTTTCCAGCAGTTCCCGACCGCTCTCGCCAATGAGGTAGTAAAACAATTTGACCTTCATTTTTCCCTCCGCGTCCGACATAGTTAGCTCCGAGTAGAGATTAAACTTGTCCCTCCAGGATTTCCAGGACTTGGATAGATTGTCGGCGTCCATGCATAACGGTGATGGGGGCTTTAATCCGTCCATCTTGCAGCTCTGCTCAGATGCAGCTCTCCACCGTCTAATTCTTAACTTGTAAACTAACAATCTAAAAGTGCCCACGCTGCCACCATGTTTTATGCATCCTTTTTTTTAAAATAATTTTTACCTAAATTTACCTCTCCACTTCCTGTGTATTAATGTACACTTATTACACCCTATGCTGTTTTCAGTGCCCTTCAAACTGTATGCATCTCTTCAGATTGGAATTAGGGATGCTCCGATCCGCCTTTTCCGCCTCCGATACCGATTCCGATACCTAGGGTTCGGTATTGGCCGATACCGATCCGATACCAGTGAAGTTTATTCCCTCCATTTAAATAAATTTAGAATTTATATATCTCTGTGTGTGGAACTGATAATCATTCTTTCACAATCTACTAGATCTTTTCCCACTTCCGATCCTCCTCCTTTCGGTGGAAGAACTCTTTCATCATCATTTTCATTAGCTCTTGTGAGTCGAAACACGGTGATGTCTTTTGTTCTTGTGTGGGTTCAGTTTGAGTTCAGTCAGCTTGGTATCTTTGTGAGTTTTTCCGTCGATTCCTTGGGCTGGTTGCTCCATGGTGTTTTTGTCGTTTTCCCTTGGAGGTTCCGTTGGATTCCCATGAGCCTTTTCCTCTTGAGTTTCCAAACGAGTTGGGCTGATTCCACGATCTGTCCCATTGAGTCTCACGAGGTCTGGATTGGTCCCAAGATTTTTCCCAGTGACGTCCAGGTGAGTGTTGTCGTTCACCCCAGCGGTTGTAGCGGTTGTTCCTCTGTTTAGGTCGGGTACCAGCATGGGAGTCTCGTTCTCTGTTGGACGTCCACTCTTTGTGTGCTTTGTGTGACGGCTTGGCATGGTCTTGATGTTGGGCGCCCTCTAGAGCCAGACCTTGACTTTGAGTGTTGAAGTCAAGAACTGTTGGGGTTTTGGCG